CCGCGCCGGGCAGCCTCGGTTTCTCCTCACACACACACCCGGCCCTCGCACCAACCGCCGCCCGCGGCACTTCTTCAGCCGCACCCCACCTCCTGAGGCAGCTGACAGCGAACGAGGGTCTGAAGCGGCCAAGCCCAGCCGTGGGTCTCCCTCAGAGCTCCGCCGGAGCACCCTCTCAGAGCGCCGCCATCGTTCCCGCTCCTCCCGCGCCGCCTCACTCACCCGCTGCGCCTTCTCCCAGACCTGGTTCAGCTTCACCACCCGGAACTCATCGGCCTCCCGACGCTTGGCACCGGCAGCCGCCCAACCCTCGTTGGACTCCCGGGAGGAAAAAAAAAATTTGCTGGCCTGGGCGCCAGCGGCAAAGAGGAGCGCGGCACCAAGAGCCGCCAGAGCCCGCGGAGCCGCCATCTTGCGGTGGCCGGCGAACTACAAGTCCCGGGATGCCGCGCGGCTCCCCACCTCTGAGAACGGCGCCGTGTTTTCTCTTCGGTGGTTGCCTAAGTCAGTGCAGTTTCTCAGTCACATGAACCTGAAAGCTGTTGCGTTCAGACTAACTTGCAGGAGTGGGCAAAAGTATTGCGGCATGTATTGCACTGAAGAGCAATTTCATGAATATTGAAGCGTGCATTGAACCATCGTGAAATGGTGATGGGGAGAGAAGCACGTCAGCCTTCCCCAAATCCTGCAGAGCTCGCCGTGTCAATTTTAGGATTTTGAGCTTGTTCTAGTCTCATTATAACTGTGTATGTATGTGCTGTTAAGTCATTTTAGAACAGATGGTTTCATCTTCTCTGTCATTGGAAGTACTGATTGAGTTTTCAGGCCCTCCGCAAAAAAATTACTCCTCTGTGCTATATAAGCTCTTACAGGTTCCTGCTCTTGTTCTTGTACTGGGTGTAGTTGTCCATAGCTTTATGCATTTGTTTGCTTGACTTTTTGAGCTACACTGGGAAAATTTTTAGAAATAGGTAAGGGGTGCAGCAGCATTAGTTTGCTGATGCTGGTCTGCTGAGTTTCAACTTCCAGTGTCCTTACATCTGTGTCAAGTGAGTATTCAGTATCACCGCTTGGTATTGTTCTCTGTCCTGGCCCAAGGGCTTCCCTCCCACAAGCAAAAAGCTGAAATACCTCTGTGGGCTTCTGTATAGAGGCTTTGGATTTATGTTGGTGTTGTACTCACCATAGAGTACACCTTGGTGTAAATAACATGCAATGGGAAATCAACTCCATCATTTCCCTTTCCTGCACGCTTCAGGTCAAATTCTCCCTTTATTTTTCGCTAGCACAGTTGAAAAACTGCTCAGGTGAATCCCTGTGACTGTGCCAAAACTCGTAGAAGCAGTGGAAGTGTTAAGCTATTGTGACTCTATTGTCTGCATTGTCCCAGAGAACTGTAGCTGAGTTGATGGACTTTATTATCCTTGTTAAAAAAAGAAACATTAAAAAACATGATGTAGACCACAGTCAGAAGTCTGTTTTCTGCCCTCTATGCACTTGAAAAGCAAAATTAGAGAATTTTGGAATGATGGTAACTATGCAAAGCAGTAAAACATGAGAAGAGGTCTTAGTTAAAAGAAAGATGGGAGTCTAATGACACTTATGAAATAGTGCAGGGTTTCTGGTAAAATAAAGAGGAAGACTTTGAAGCTTATGTTCAGAGACTTGAATAAATTGCATTCTTCCAGGTACAGTGTCAGGAGATCTTTTCCTTTAAGATTCAATGTAAGAGCTGGACAAGCTTCTGGCTTCAGTTTTACAAAAAAAACCCAGTTCACCACTGAATTTTCACCTTCACATATTCTGTATACATCTAAAATTTTGTGTGAGTGACAGAAACTGCTCAGCATTTCAAATGCTAGAAATGAGAGCAATTGCGGCCTTTCTCATCTCCATCTTCTATCCTAGCAATACAGTCTGCAGGCTGAGCCTAGCCAGCCAAAATGCAGGAAAGGTAGGATAAGTAAGTATGGTGGGTTTGCAAGGGTGCTGCTGGCTTTTTGCAAGTATGCCCTCACTCAGCCTCACCAGGACCCTGCTGAGGGTGTACTGAAGTGATATCTGTGAACCTTTTGCAAACAGTAGCCTTAGCCAAGAGTCTGCCCTGGCTGGAACGTGATGTGTTAGATATTTCCCAGGGTGCCTTTCCCTTCCATCTGGGAGACCACAGATACCTCCATGTAGTAACATGGGCCCCAGAAGTTTTAGGACTTTTCTAATGCCCCACTCCTAGCCAAACCAGATTTTAGCAAAGAGGAGCACTGTTGCGTATTTTTTGTTCCATCCATGTAAGACCGACAAGGTGAAATATAAAAGCTGTTTTTTTATGATCCTCAGTCCTCTCTCTAATGAATGATTTTCTTAATACTTGAGAGCTGATAAAATTCCCACCAAGCCTATCTCCTCCAGGTAATATCCAGGTCACCAGGAGACATACCTCTCCCAAAGTACTTCTGTATCTCTGTCCCACTGGATTTCATCTTTCAAAGCCAAATTCGATCAGTAATAAACTGACCTACCTGACTCTTTTTTTGGTGAAAGTCCTCATGCTCCAAACCCAACTCCTAACTGTCCTCCCAGCCAGAATATACCCCAAGACAGGTTTATCTACATTAAAACAAAAAACATAACGTTTTCAACTAATTCATTCTACTTGTATGTGCAGCCTGCAGTAAACATTCTTTATTAGTCTTAATTCCAGAAGCATAAACCTAACCATGACAATAGCACTATGCAGAAACAGACTGTAGTTGTATTTTGCCAAAATAAAAAATGCCAGCAACCTAATTGCTCTTCTAAGCTGTGTTTCTCACTCAACTTCTTCAAAGCCAGCACTCAAACTTCTAAGTGGTAATGCACATTGAATCATAGGATCCTAGAAGGGTTTGGGTTGGAAGGGACCTTAAAGATCATCGAGTTCCAACCCCCCTGCCATGGGCAGGGACACCTCCCACTAGCCCAGGTTGCTCAAAGCCTCATTCAGCCTGGCCTTGAACACCCCCAGGGATGGGGCATCCACAGCTTCTCTGGGCAACCTGTTCCAGTACCTCACCGGCACTCTGGCCTCCAACCCTCATAGGAAAAATTGGAGCTGGGCAATCACAGGAGTGATGTCAGGGGCTGGGGGCAATGCTGCCTGCCTGGATGCAGCAGTGGTGGAACAAGGTGCTGGTGCAGGTGGGACAGACCAGCGTGTCTTAACAGGGTGGTCTCACCACTGCCTCCTGTTAGATGAGGCAGGGGGTCTGGTCCTGCTGCACTGCCTGCACCTTCCAGCAGAAGGACCTGTGGGACAGGGGTGACAGCACAACCCCAACCCTCCTATGCCCTGGCTCCAGCCCTGTGCAATGGCTGCACTCACTTGAACTCCCCCAAAAAACTGGGAGATGCAGCATCACTCTCTGCTGCAGGGGAAGTAGAAGTTTTGAGGGCATCACCAGTCCCAGCAGGTGACCAGGCTACCCCACAGCTGGCAGGTATGGCACCTCTGGGGATGGCACAGAGACAGCCAGCCTCAGTGCCACGCGTCCCTGGGGAGCCTGGTCAGTCCTCGCCCAGCACAGTACCGACTCATTTTTTTGGGCCACCTGGCTGGTGACACCAGACAAACCAGTAAAGCCACATACCTTCTCAAAATCCCCAATTTCTGCAGAAATTAGCTTTTTTGGATAAATGAGGATCTGGTGGGTTACTTGCAGCTGGCTACCAAAGCTTCCCTGGGGGGCTGCTCACCTGTGCAGTGCAAGACATGGGGCATGGGGACCCCGATGGGGACATGTTCCCCCTGGCCTCACCTTCTGTGCTACCCTCTTCAGCTTCTGCCAGTTTTTGGGGAAGAGGAAGCTGTAGAAGCCCTCCTCATCGGCCCCTCTCTGGCTCATTCTGCTGGTATGGTGCTGCAAGGGGGGAAAAGAAGGCATGTGCTGGGGGCTGTCGGCAGCGAGGCGCTGGGTACTGGGGTGTGTTGAGCCCTGGGGTCTCACCAAGCTGTTCTCATGGATGCAGAGCCTGTCGTGCTGGCACAAGTGCCCAACAACCTTGGGTCGCAGGCAGCCCACTGGCACAGCCTGCACACTGCCAGGGGACAGTAGCACTGTCATCCACAGCATCACACCGGGGTGCCAGTGGGGGTAACGCTGGGATCAAGATGGGAGAGAGGCTAGAGCACCTTCCCACGGTGCGGGGGCTTCTGCTTGCACAGCCAGGCACTGGCCAGAATCCCCTCTGGCAGGTGCCAGGATGTATGCCATGCACTCACCTTCCTCCTTGGGTACCTGACGCTTCATTTTAGGCAGGGAGGTGCACAAGGAGAGTGCTGCCTGCTCCTCCAGCAGCCCTGTGGGGCACTGGGCAGGGAGGGGCTGTGGCACCCTGCAGTGCTGGGAGCTCGGCTCCATCACTGCAAGGGGCTGGAGTGAAGATGGCTGGGCGTGGGGACGTTGGTGAGGTTGAAGACTGTCCTGCTCCTCCAGTGTTTGGGGCAAACATGTCTGAGCTGGCAGTAGATGGCCCAGGGGGTTTGTGACCTGACTCCGCACACGCTGTGCAGGGAGAGCCCTGAGAGATGGGCAGCCCTCGGGCGAGATGCCAGCGTCAGCCCATGGGATGTCTGGGTTGTGCTGGGGGGGCAGAAGCTGAGCCCAAGCTGGGGAGGGGGAAGCACTGTGAGAGCTGCCATGGGGCTGAGGCCGCCCTGCCCAGGTAGAAGCAGTAAAACCAGGGGGTGGGGAGGAAAAAGAGGTTCCCTGTGCATCCCTTCTCTTGTGCCAGGGCTCCAGCAGAGACTTCAGAGACACCCAAAGGGTTTGATAATCCAAGCACTTTATTTAGGCATCAAAAATGACTTTATTTAGGCGTCATCTGGACTTCTCATTAACAGGCTTATTGATATATTTTAAATAATTTCTGTATTTGTATTTTCACTTTCTTAGCAAACAAAATTTAGTTTAACAAACGTTATGTCAATTAGAATAAATGTTCCCATTGAAGAAGAAAGCAGCTCACACTCTCTGTTGTGCGTCTGATGCTAGAGGCCAAGCCTGCTGCACTGGGGTGTCAGTGGGGAAGAGTCGGTACCCCAGCTTCTGGAAGCGCTTCAGATATGCCTGAACCCAGGGTGCCTGGGGGTCTGCACACACTTTTATCCCTTTTTTGGTGACCAGGCTGCCGGGAGAAAACCACTGTTGGGGCGCTTGGCCAGGGCAGCAGGGTGCCTGTGCTGGTTCCCGCTGACAGTGCCCTGGGTGTCCCTGACCGTGCCCCTTTCCCCCTCCCAGTCACCCTGGGACCCGCTTGGCACGCTGCCCTGGCCGTCACACCGTGACCCCTGGCAGTGCTGGGTACTCACATCACTGCTGGCTGGCTGCAGCTGCTGCTGGTGGTGTAGGCGGAGGAGATGGCCGAGCGCGGGAGGCGCTGGGACACATAGGTGAAGCAGCAGACGGTGGGGATGGTGGCTGTTGGGGGAGAGGACAGCCACAGTGAGACCCCACACTGCGGCAGAGGCTCTGGCTGGGGCTCCCAGGAATCACCTGTCCTGTATCCCCTGGGGACACCCCCTGGAAGCCTCCATCCCCGAGGCTGCGTCCCAGCACTGCTGATGACCACCTGCTCCCAGCCCTCCCCATGAACACGAGGGTCCCATCAATGGGGGTGGGGGTCTCTCCTGGGGAGGGAAAACAAACCTGGCTGCTGGGATGATGCAGCAACACTGGACTCACCGATGTGGGCCTCAGCCAGGGACCAGATGGCCACGAGGAGCAGAGTAGCTAGGGCGGCTGTGGGGACCTTCATGATGGTGCAGGGGCCCAGGGAACCAGGAGCAGGCCTGGAGCTGGGATGGCTGCAGGGCTCTCCTCTGCACGATGCTCGGTCCCTGCTGCTGCCTACCTTTTATCCCCCAGCTGCTGGGTGGGTGCAGGATTTCAAGGAAATTAAATGCATACATCATACTGGGGAAATTCTGTTAGGGTCCCCCAGTTTTGCTGAGCTGGAGAAGGCATGGAAACCACAGAAAGGGAAACTCTGGCCATGGGGCTGTAACTTTCAGATTCAAGAGAGAACAAGTCTTATGAGGAACAGCTGAGGGAACTGGGATTGTTTAGTCTGGAGAAAAGGAGGCTCAGGGGAGACCTTATTGCGCTCTACAACTGCCTGAATGGAGGTTGGAGTAAGATGGGTGTTGGTCTCTTCTCCCAAGTAACGAGTGACAGGATGAGATCAAATGGCCTCAAGTTGCACCAGAGGAGGTTTAGACTGGGGTTGCGAGACCTCACCTGGAGTACTCCAACCAGCTCTGGGGCCCTCAACATAAGAAGGACATGAACCTGTTGGAGCGAGTCCAGAGAAGGGACACAAAAATGATCAGAGGGCTGGAGCACCTCCCATGTGAGGACAGGCTGAGAGAATTGGGGTGGTTTAGCGCAGAGAAGAGAAGGCTCTGGGGGACCTTACAGCAGCCTTCCAGTACTTCAGGGGAGCCTACAGGAGAGATGGGGAGGGACTCTTGATCAGGGAGTAGTGATAGGACGAGGGGTAATGGCTTCAGACTGAAAGAGGATAGATTTAGATTTAGATTTAGATATAGGAAGAAATTTTTTATGGTGAGGGTGATGAGACACGGGCACAGGTTGCCCAGAGAAGCTTGGATGCCCCATCCCTGGAGATGTTCAAGGTCGGGTTTGATGAGGCTTTGAGGAACCTGGGCTGGTGGAGGGTGTCCCTGCCCATGGCAGGGGGGTTGGAACTAGATGATGTTCAAGGTCGGGTTTGATGAGGCTTTGAGGAACCTGGGCTGGTGGAGGGTGTCCCTGCCTATGGCAGGGGGGTTGGAACTAGACGATCTTCAAGGTCCCTTCCAACCCAAACCATTCTATGATTCTATGATTAGGAAAAATTTCTTCACTGAAAAGGTTGTCAAGCACTGGAACAGGCTGCCCAGCGAAGTGGTTGAATCACCATCCCTGGAGGTGTTTAAAAGACATGTGTCTTAGGGACACAGTTTAGTGGTGGACTTAGTAGTGTTAGCTTTACAATTGGATTCAATGATCTTAAGGGTCTTTTCAACCTAAATTATTCTATTCTATGTTTCTAAATGGTTCTATTCTATGACCTTCATGATGCTACAGAGGCTGAGGGAACTGCAAGCAGGGCTGGAGCTGGGGTGGCTGAAGGACTCTCTTCTGCATGATGCTTGGCCCCTGGTGCTGTCCTCCTTTTATCCCCCTTATCCTGATTTCTGCTGGGATAGAGCTAATTTTCTTCTTAGCAGCTAGAATAGTGCTGTGTTTTGGATACAGTATGGAATTTGGTATGAGAAGAATGTTGATAATATACAGATGTTTTTACTTGTTGCTAAGAATCATTTGGGCAAACCTGATATTTTGGTATATAGCTTCCCGGTGCTCAACATAATGAGAAGTAGAGGCAAGACATAAAAAGAAGTTAACCTGTAAGCTGGCTGTAAAGAAGTTGGGAAAAAGACAAGAAAGAGGATGGAGAATATAAAAGGGAGGACAAAAGGAATAACAAGCATTAATTGATATTCATTCCACTGGTTTTCATTTCACAGCTTTTTGCTGAGGATTTTTACTTCATCCTGCTTGGATTCAGCAGCTCTATGTAGGCAATGTTAAGAAAATGCTGTCATATTTTTCACATGCTGGTGTGGTTTGTGTGTTCTTGTTTCTCACAGTTAGTCGTAATGGGAAGAAATGCAATCCCAAAATTCGAGTGAAATGGGGAAACCATTGAAAGAAGCTCTCTGGCTGACGCGAGATTGCAGAAGTTATTTTCTTAACTAAAAGCATAGAGTAGGGTTGGCCAGGAAGTTTTCTCTCCCTTCTGGGATTGTGGTTTCGGAATTTTCTGTCCTCTGGGATCACTGGGCAGGAATGGGCTGGGCCTTGATCAGCAGGTGGTGAGCAGTTGTGCTGTGTATCACTCATTTATGTATATTATTATTATTATTGTTGTTTCTGTTGTTCTTGTTCCTTCTCTTGTTCTTCTTGTTCTTGCTCTTTTTCTTGTTATTGTCATTATTATTTTAAATTTTATTGTATTTCAGTTATGAAATTGTTCTTATCTCAACCCACAAGTTTCCTTACCCTTACCCCTCCAGTTCTCTCCCCCATCCCACAGGATGGGGAAGGGTGAGCGAGCAGCTGCATGCTGTTTGGCTGCTGGCTGGGTTTAAACCAGGAAACCTGCAGAGTTTCAAGGAAAGAAAATGAGTGCATCATACTGGGGAAACTATGTCAGGATCACCCAATTTTACTGAACTGGAGAAGCAAGGAAACCGCAGAAGGGGAAGCGCCAGTCACGCATGGGACTGTGACTTTCGGATTCCGTTTGATGCCTGCCAGACATTGGCCAGAGGCCAAACCCCTGTGACACCAACCCTGCTGCTGCTGCTGCAGTGACCCTACCAGACCAGAGCTGGGCTGGTCACGAAGATCCATGACCAGAGCCCTGAGGGAAATCAGGACAAGGCCAGAAAAATAAGGAAAAAAAAAAAAAGAAAAGAAAAGAGGAGAAAGTAGCAAATGTTGCAGCTTGCTTGTGGAGTGTGCACTGGCAGGGGTGTTTGGGAATTACCCTCTGGGATTGCAAATGCTGCCCCTTTTCAGTCATGCCTCAATCTCCTTGAGGTTTCATCTGCAAGGCTTGAATGAGCTTGAGTGGGTGCCAGCAGAGTCCTCTTCTCCTTCCAGCTACTACTCTGAATACCCTGTCTCCTCTGATTTCAGGTCTATTTGCTTTTTTTGGGCTAAGCCAGTAGAGAGAGCCTGAATTGGATGAAGTTACCCTGCTTGGGAAGAAATGGGCAAGCAGTAATTGCAACAATTTGACTGTCAAGAGGTTGCAGACCACAGCCAAAATAAAATCCTTAGACAGTGAGGTGTAATTCCTCTGTTCACCCTGGGGACAGGGAGGGTGGAAGGCCAGGCTGCAGCCTGAGCCCACTGCTCCAGCCCTGGAGCAGGGCAACAGAGCCCAGACATAGATTCGTAGGATCCTAGAATGGTTTGGGTTGGAAGGGACCTTCAAGATCATCTAGCTCCAACTCCCTGCCATGGGCAGGGACACTTTGTGTCCTTGTGTCTGCCTCTCAGTGTGGTTTTGTAAACATGGAGGGATCCTATTTCTTCTTTTAGTAACAGAAGAGAAAGCATCATTAATTTTCACTGAGATATATAGTTCCTTATACTTTACATTAAATTAAAGAGCATTTATTCAGGTGTACTTTAGGTTTTCCAGGACAAAACAGTCAGAGATATGTATCTGGACTAACTGAGTTGAAATCTCTCATCAAAGACACAATCCTGTTTTTCAAGGGATTAGGCTTTTTCCTTCGCTGTTCTCTAAATTTCAGACCAAGGTCAGAGTCAGCCTTTAGACATCAATTTTGACTACTTCAGCAGGGCTAACAGGAGCTGGATTCCTCTGATACTCCCTTAAAGAGTGTGTGATAGCTCTCTGTGATGGAAAGTCACAGTTGTCTTAAAAGCACTTCATGTGCTCATTCCTCAGAAGGCCAGGAGGCTTACAGCTGTACCTGAGACATGGTTGTAAACCCTTCTCCATGCAGACTCCATTTTCAGCTTGGAGAAACAGTCCTCATCACAGCATCTGTCTCCGTGATTCTCTGCATGGGTGACTCTCAGTTCCCTGTCCAAGCAAAGCCAAGTGCTTTTCCTACACTGGAAGTCTTAGGTCTGCTTTGTTCCAGGTCAGAATAATAGGAAAACTACTCTGCTGTAGTGTGGATGAAACTGTTTTGTTGGGGTTTTTTAAATAATTTTGTTCATTTAATTTAAGTTAAGCTTTTTATTTTCTGAGATAGCTTCATATTTTCTTTGGCTTTAATTCTGTGCATTCAGGCAGAAAGTTAAACAATGTCAAAGTGAAGAAAATTAATTGCATAACATGCTAAAAGGATGAACCGGGGAAATGTTTGTTATTACATTAGCTTCTTACCTACATCCTTAATGTGAATTGCTGGAATGTCAGAGAGAACTAACCAGCCTGGAATTTATTCTTAAATATGTATTCTCATAAAGTGGATCCTTTCTTCTATGCAGTTAATTTTAGTGAAAGAGAAAAGCAAGTGTTGGTATAATATAATTGCAAAACGTCTCTCTAGAGTAGTTAATTCTTATAAGTGGTAATAGCTTTCTATTGCCATTATCTTACTGAAATTACTTCCTTAGCTAAACTGTTTAGGGCCAATGCTAAAGATAAGTGTATGAAAACCAGCTTCTGAATTCTGCCCTTCTAGAAATGATCTTTGTGGCTCATTAAAGTGAACCTTGACTTGTTTTGGGAAGAAACAAAGTACTCACTGGCATTCTTGACTGTTTTAGTGCTCCCAGCTACAGCTCTAGATGACTTCTCGCTGCAGCGGTGAATCCAGCTTTTCTTTTTATCCAATTCCCAACACATGTTTTTATAGGCTCTTTCTTTCTTCATAAGCATGGAGGGGGTAATAAGAATTTAGTAGGAGGAATCTTGACTTGTTTCAATGAAACAGAGTTTAGGAACTGAGAAAGCTCAAGATTTGAAATCAGAGGTGGTTTCTCAAGCACTCAGAATCCCAGAAACCATATTTGTTTTATAATCCTGGTACCAGCATGGACTTTACTGTTGTGAGACTACTTGCATTTTTAATATTAAATGTATAGGTAATTTTTTAATAGCATTTGGGCTGTGAACTATTAGTATAAAATAAACAATGAATGTAAACTAAACAAACAAATTGCTAAGAGGTATCTCATGTGCCAGTGAAATGCAGC